CGAGTAGGGGGTACGGTGAAACAGGAAAAATCACGCGAAAAGTCAACAACCGGGAAACTTCCCAACACAGCAAATTTCTCTTGAAGGCACATACGATCACCCCCCCCCCTCCGCCCCTCTCCAGCAGAAAAGGACTCGTATCTGTTTCACACAACGATGCTGTACTCTGGGAGAGGGTCATATCCTCTAAGAAACTCCCCCCCCCTCCCCGGTGACGGAAGTGCCCTGACCGCAAGAGAACGAACAACATTGTCGCGCTGTCGTACACATCTGTCTTGTTGACCATGACCTTTACCAGTTGTCTCATAAATTTCGTCAGACTTTTAACGCTTTTGTCGGCGCTGTTCGGCTTAGCGGGGGCACTTTGCACGTTCTCTAGTTCCTTTTGCCAGTTCATGTTAACTGACAGGTAAGACGTGTAAACTCTTGTGAAACTGCGGACGGTACATGTGAGCCACTTCACTCCAGCGAATTTACTTGTCTTCACAGGGTGGCCTGTACAGCCTTCGCTGAGTATCATTCGGTGCCCCCATCAAGACAATCTGCTCCCTTTTGCCTATTTATTTTTGAAAATCTCAACACAAAACAGGCCGAACCGTACATTGCGGTGATTGCAGAGCAAAAGCTACGGCAAGAAACTCGAGATTTCTAGGTCCAGCAAGGTATACCATGTGAACGGCTGCTAAGGAAGGGTTACTCCTACTAACCCTAAACAGAAATTACTTCCAATTTTTGATTTTACTGTTACACGCGCACTATACTCCTCTCCTTCTTTTCAGCTGAAATCCAAGATGGTAGTCGTGTCGAGGTGGGAGCAATTTTTGGTGTGGTGTTTATTTATTTCAAAATTTCCCCAAACGCGATGTGCCCTTTGAGGCTGCGAGTTGAACAATGGTTTGACGGCAGCAGGGCACGTCGTCCATGGAGGACTCCCTGGTCGTATTTGGTCGCTGGCGGGAAGAGGGACGTTTTTGTCTCTGACAAAAATGTTTTTGGTTGCCAACTTTCTTGGATTCCCCCACAACATACTTCTCCGCTCGGAAACAGTTTTCTGAGGAAATTCTTGACAAAAAAGTGCGAAAGAGGGGTTGAAAGTTGGTAGGAAAATTCAGGAAGATTGTTGGGGAAGGGACTGGGAATGGGGGAAGGAGGGTGGGAGCAGAAGGAGAAATTTCGAGGGGGGGGGGTGTATTTTATGATACCAGTCATTTCCCAACGGCGGAACGTGCCCCAATAAGACACGACTATTTAGAGCTTCAACCTACCAGCAGTGCAGATTGAGCCGTCGCCTCGCCAATACGTCCTGATCTTTCTCGTTTAACATTTGAAACTCTTCCAACCCTCGACACCAATCGGAGTAATAAATGAAATGACGACGCCCATCCTTAATTATTCATATGTGAGCATTACATTCATTTTTTTTCTCCCGAATTTCAACCTCGTGATAGTCACAAGGCAGCAGGCCTGTTGAGTGGCAGAGGATCGAGAGCTCTGTGAAGGTACTCTACTGCATCTCTGCCTTGGCCCCTTCCTCAGGTATGTGACTTAGAGAATTGTAATTCACCGCGCTGGTGGGCGCCGCGTGCGACGCGCCGCACCCGCAAATGATGAGCGGGTAGTAGATGGCGACAACAGGCGATTTAGAACCGAAAATAGTCATGAATGTCTACGATGACGGCGGTCTACATGAGGTTCCGCCATGCTCATTCGACAGGTTAACCGAGTTAGAAAACACTGCCATTGCTGCGCGCGGCGGACCGGCAAATTACGATTCGTCCTGTGGTGTCACCCTATCCCCCCTTCCTCCTGTATCTCTACGCTCACATTTTTTCAAGAACATTTGAGACAATTCAACGTACCATCAATAAGATCTTCGGGGGTCAGTATTCGTTCACCCGTGAACCTCATCGGATATCGAGGGCTGACCAACACAGGCCTTCGGAACACCACTTCAAACGGGAGATTAATCTGAAATGAGTCATAGTCCCACAGGAAAGCCCAGTTATAAAAAATTTCAGTTGAATACCGTTTGACCGACCTGCCTTTTCGTGGCATTGATCGAATAGTCGGCTTCGATGGGCGTGTGGGAGAAAACCTTTAACAAAAATGTCTTTCAAAAATTGGCAACTGGCTTTACATCGAACTTTTATACGAACCTGATTTTCTAATGCCATGAGCGTTTCAGGTATGTTGAACATGTCGTAGGAACTTGGCGTGGGTAGGTCGTGACATTCCGGTGGAGTAGAGACCCGTTCCACTTTCACCGGCCTCTCTGTCGCTATTTGCGATGGACTCAACGGTGGATCGGTCTGGAAATCAAGCCAAATCATTCACCATTCACTCCAATTCACAATTGTCTTGCCAAAAAAACTGAAAATTCTTGCAAGTATTGGAATGCGCCGTGCACTCAAGTCCAGAATGATTTTTGAATCCTTTGGAAGTGTGACAGTCTTGAGGACAAGGCTCAGGGTCAGGCACAAGACCTTTCGGACGACGCTGATGGCAAATAAGTGACACTTCGGGGACAGATCACATGGTCGACTTCAGATGCTTTCCCTAGGGCCGACAAGGGCATACCACAGCGATGGGGCATGCCCCTCCCTAAAAACGCGTCAAG